AAAATTAGAGGAATCAAACTTTGTCACCCTCTGGGGGTAAGCCATAGAAGTTACATGCTTTTCTTACAAGAAAAAAAAAATCGTCTTCTATTTCGGAATCACTTTACTATTTCTTTTTTACCATCCTTGCTTTCTTGTAAAAAAAAAAACTTTGAGAAAAGGAAAGAACAACTTTTTCCAGCTTCCTAGACATTAGTTCTCCATGGTGCACTGAAAGATGAGGACAGCCATAAATCATAATGATTAAACTAGTACGTCGACACCCTTATAAAAATATTATTTTTTATTAATAAAGTACAAGAAGAAGCATCATCAACTAATTAACAAACATTGAATGATTGAATAAGTCAATGAATCTCGTCTTTTACTACTTCCAAATTTAAATTATCATTTCCTTAATACTACAAGTTGAACTACAAACTTGCCCCAACTGCCGGCTTTGAACTTTTATAAGTTTGAAAACTCTTACTAACCTTGATTCCTTCTTTTCCTTTTTATTCTTATTTGTCAATAAACACCACATTTTTTCTATAGGTATTCAAGTTTAATTATATGTTTTAATCACCAAATTCCTTTCTTTTGATTACAGAAAATGGCATCAGAAATTACTGAAGAAGAAGAAGATTTAGATTCTTTTAGGAAAATGGAGAAAGAAGCTCAAAAAAATAGCATAAGAAGAATAATTGAGTACCAAAAATATTTGTTTTCTTCATCTTCTTCTTCTTGTTCATCTTCTCTATCAACTTCTTCCTCTACTCCAGCTTCAAGTTCTTCATTTTCATCCTCAAGAAGAAGTAATTTATTAAATTTGATGAAAGATGGAAGTACATCATTAAGGAGATTATTTGATATGGAGCATACTAGCTTATCAACACATTTTCAAGATTATAGTGGATCACCTATAATTAAGCCTATTTTATTATGGGGTAGTGATTCAGATCAAGATGGAATTCATGATGATCCATGGAATTCCATAAAGCAACATCGTCAACAACAACAACAACAAAAAGACAATATGGATGAATCGACAAGTCATGGTCAAAGAGGGGTTGTTGCTTCAAAAGACAATTTTTCAAAACAAGATTTTGTTGACACCAAGAAAAAAAAGAGATTTGGTAGGAAGAAATTGAATAGAACTAGGTCATTTAGGAAGTTACCTAGGTTTAGGTTTAATTTATGGAGATGGGGTGGATTTAGATTAAGAAGAATGAGGATTCTTTTTTGTGGTCGTGTTAATTGTTAACATTTTTGTAGCAATTGTATAGAAATTAAAATGATAAACATGCATTTGGAAAAGAAAGTTAAATGGAGAAAAACTAATGTCTCTCTTTCTTTCTTGAGATTAATTAAGCAAATCTAAAATTTATTTGAGTATAGATCAATCTATTATTTTTAGAATAATTTTATATGAGCCATCTAACCTTTTGTAACCCTCTTTCTATTCTCTAGCTTGAAGTAGCACCAAAGTGTGCAAATGTTATAGCAGGAGTAGAATCGATCAAATCTTTTATCGATATATAAACTGAATAGTAGTTATGAACCCTTCTTTGATAGAAGCAGGGGCGGATCTATTACGGGCGTTGGGGGTGCCACGCCACCCGCAAACCTTCGTCGAAACTCGTATATTCTCTGTGTATATAGAAGGAATTGGCTATATACTAAGTGATGGAACCCGAATTAACAAACTTGTGCTAGGTGCCATTGGTAGATTGCGGGGTTTTTATGTCCACGTGCCTGAGTTTGAATCCCAATCGACATTGGCTTTTAACATTTTTCCGCTTTTCAGGCTTTCAGCCTTTGATATTGAAAAATTAGCATCATATAACAACACATAATAGAAATTGGCAATTTTTTAGCCTTATATTAGGTTTGGCAAAGATAGTCCCATACAATTGGCATTATATAGTCAAATCTTAAAAAACTACTCTTTTTTTTATATTCTCTCTCAAAAAAAACTGCACACTTATTTTGGCTTTTCTCCCCCTTTCTCTCCTTGTATTACTTCTTCTATCTCTTCTCTTTTGCTCTCATAGTTTAGCAAAAATTCTTACAAATTATGCAAAAAAAAATCAATGGGATGAAAAGGTAAGGTTGATCTCACATCAGAGAAAATCAGAAGCAAAAACTAAGAGAGAAAAAATATATTTCAACTTTGTTTTTCTTCTCTCTCTTTTTTTTTTTTTGTTGGATTGAATGAGTGGGTGTGATTGATATTGGTTGAAAATACCTAAATGAGGCTATATATAAAATTCGAGCAAGATTAGCAAAACTAAGAGAGAAAAAATATATTTCAACTTTGTTTTCTTCTCTCTTCCTTTTTTTGGTTGGATTGAATGAGTGGGTGTGATTGAAATTGGTTGAAAATACCTAAACGAGGCTATATACAAAATTTGAGCAAGATTAGAAGTGATTTAGACTGGTTTCAGGTAAAAAATCAGACCTAAAAATCCAACTACGACATATGTATATCACGTTGTATATCGTTTATATCAGTGTATCACACACAAGTTTTTAAGGACGTCTGTGTATATCGCTTTGTATATCGTGTATACAACACAATTTTTTTTATGGACGCCCATGTATATCACATTGTATATCGTATATGTAACATAAATTTTCATGGATATATACATATACACATAATATACATGAGATATCACTGATGTATATAGAGATATACACGGGTTACAATAGGGGATACACATGTGGAGTCGTCTTGAACTTGAGTTTTCAATTTGAAATGTGTTATACAAAGAAGGAAAATATAATTTTAATAAATTTTTTTGATATACACATTATTATTATGTTATACACTGTGATATACAAATAATATAATTATTACTTATTGATCAAAAAAGGAAAATAATTTTTTTATATAACATGTTTAAGCAAGTTCTAAAATATAAAAATAATAAATATAATTGCGGGAGTAAATAATATTTTGGTATACAAAGAAAATTAATTTTTGATATACACAAAGAAGAAAAATAAATTTATGATATCTATTTTGGTATACACATGTCCTATTTGCTATACACTGTGATATATAAATAATACAATATTTTTTATTGTGATATATATTGATATAAAGGCAGCAATAGCTATATATATAATTTTATATTATTGGTATACAAAGAATAATATTATTTATATACAAAGAATGAAAATAAAATTCAATATACATGTTGATATAGACAAAGAAGAAGAAAAAAATTGTGATATACATATTATTATCGTGATATACATTTATTGGCTATTTGATGACAATATGTATAACTAGGGCTATTATATGGGTATGTTGTTATACCATGCCAAAACCCCTTTGATATTTACATTTTATGGGCCTCAATTTCAGGTTTTCAGCCTCATATATTTTCATATTTTATTTCTCTTTACCTTTTTATTAAAAGAAAATATTGTCTTTTTTAAAAAAAATTAAAAAAATAAAATTAAAAAAAAAAACTGAACAAACCAATTCCGTTAATCAAATAACAATTAGAATTTCAAAATTCAAACTCATATCCAAAAGCATTCTCTTCCCGTACCTTTCTCTTTTTTGAGTCCTCTTGATGTGCATTGTTACATATTTTGTTATTATTTCTTTTCTAATCCTCACTAAATTGTTTTGGTTGCCCACAGAAGAAAAATAAAAGAAGGAGAATATTGATGTAAATGTGCCTACTTACATTTTGCTACATGAAATTAAACTAGTTTCAATTTCTAAGGTCATTAAATTGGTAAGTCGTTCATATCTTTTCATGAATGTTAAAGTTATTAATTTTGATCCAAACTACTTCATTAGAAATGTGATTCTCTTATTCTTTGAATATAAGTGATATCACTGAAAGATAGACTCTAGGTTGTCAAAATTATTGCATAGTAATATTTTTTGCTTAAGTAGTTATAATTCGTAAAGATGAATAATTTGAACCGAACCTGAAATGGATCAAATTGATCAAATAAATACCTCATTTGAACCATGTAAATATCAACATGTATATGTGTTAGGTTTGAAGCTCGATGGCTATGGCGGAAAACAACAGAAGAAAATCCTAGAAGTGTTGAGAGAAGAAGATGAACAAATGAGTCGGTCAAAGTTTAATTGACCAGAACTGATTTTATTATTCAGAGGTGTCTATTTATATTTACAAGTGTAAGAGACGAAAACAAAATGTAAAAACAGTTACATGACTGAAACTATAAGAAAATGTAAACTATAAAAGGGCATTCTTCTTTCCCTTATCTGATTGGGCCTGTGATAATTGAGCCTGAGCTGTATCTGGGCTAACACCCCCCCCCCCCCTCAAGCTTGAGGATGAGAACACACCAAGCTTGCAAAGTAAATCATGATGAACAGGACCAGGAAGAGCTTTGGTCATGATGTCCGCTAACTGGTTGGAGCTGGAGATAAAATGCAAAGAAATGAGACCAGTCTGCAAGCAAGTGCGCACATAATGACAATCAATCTCAACATGCTTTGTGCGCTCGTGAAAAACTGGGTTCTTGGCAATATGAAGAGCTGCCTGGTTGTCACAATAAATGGGAACTGGGCTGGAAATGGACAAACCAAGATCAAGCAGAAGTCAGAGCAACCAAGAAACCTCAGCTGAAACTTTGCGAAGTGCTCTGTATTCAGCTTCAGCTGAGGACAAGGAGATAGTGGGTTGGTTCTTGCTTTTCCATGAAATTGGGCTGCCACCAGGAGTAATATAATAAAGTGACAGATTTGCGAGAAATGGCACATGCAGCCAATCAGAGTCAGAATATGTTGTGAGAGACAAATCAGATGAGCTGGAGAGGAGCACCCCTTGAGTTGGATCATTAAGTAAATATCTGAGAACATGCAAGGCTGCCAACATGTGGGGTACTTGAGGTTTTTGAAGAAATTGACTCAAATGTTGAACGGAGAAAGAGATATCAGGCCTAGTATGTTGCAAGAAATTGAGCTTCCAAATCAACCTCCTATACAAGCTAGGATCAAAAACAGGCTCCCCCATGTCTTACACCAGCTTCACAGAAGGATCTAAAGGGGTCATAACAGGAGAGAAGTGCTGACAATTAAAATCAGACAAGAGGTCAGAAGTGTACTTGTGTTGGCTCATCACATAACCTTGAGGGATAAGAGAGATTTCCAATCCCAAAAAATAGTGAACTGAGCCCGGGTCTTTGATTTTGAATTGGGCATCCAAGAAAGACTTCAAAGAGTTCATCTCAATAACATCATTACCAGCTAGCAAGATGTCATCAACATAGACAGCCAAGACAACTAAACAATCAGAGGAAACCTTGGTGAATAAGGAATAATCATTCATGCTGGAAATGTAGCCTCTGGATTGCAAGGCTTCAGACAGTTCTGAAAAACACTGTCTAGAAGCTTGCCTAAGGCCATAGAGGGATTTCTTGAGTCTGCAAACCAGGGGAGAAGAAGAAGAAGGAGCAGATACATCAAGACCAGGTGGGACCATCATATAAACCTCTTCATGGAGATCCCTATGAAGGAAGGAATTATTCACATCAAGTTGAAACACAGCCCAGCCCCACTTAGCAGCCAAAGTGAGTAAGCATTTGATGGTGGTTAACTTGACAACAAGAGAAAAAGTTTCAGTAAAATCAATGCCCTCCTTTTGGGTGTCACCTCTAATGACTAACCTGGATTTATATCTCTCAATAGAACCATCAGCCTTTGGTTTGATTTTGTAAACCCACTTGCAAGGAATAGCTTTCTTGTGAGAAGGTAAAGGGACAATATCCCAAGTTTGGTTTGCCTCAAGAGCTTGGAATTCCTTTAGCATGGCCTCTTGCCAAGCAGGATTTGAGGCAGCCTGCTTGTAGAACTGGGGCTCATGCATGTGTATGTCAATAGAAGAGACCTTGGAAGAGAATGAGAGGAAGAGACAGAGGAACATACATAATCTTTAAGATAGGAAGGTTGTTGGATGGTTGATTTTCTCAAAGGTGGAGGAGAAGGGATAATAGGAGGAGAATCAGATAGAGGAGGAGGTGAGGGAACAGGAGAGTCTGGAGATGTGGAAACATCAGGAGTAGGAGAAGGTGAAGAGGAGGAGGGTGCAGAATCTACAAAATCTGAAATGGAGGAAGAAGGAAAGACAGAAGGATGATCAGACTTATAAGGAAATATATGTTCATGAAAAACCACATCCCTAGAAAAGAAAATGGAATGAGTAGTGAGATTAAGAAGTTTGTAACCCTTTTTGCCAAGGGTACCCCAAATAGCTCTAGCCTGGAATTTATCTCTACCAAACTTAGGTGATGTAGCAAAGCATAAACATCCAAAGGATTTTAAGTGATCATAAAGTGGAGGGAGGCCATGAAGTTTCTCATAAGGAGAGAAACCCTTCTAAACAACAGAAGGAAGTCTATTGATGAGGTAAGTGACAGTCAGAACACAGTCACCCAAATATTTAAGGGGAAGGTTAGACTGAAAAAGGAGAGCCCTGGAGATTTCCAATAAGTGTTTGTGTTTCCTTTCAACTATCCCATTTTGTTAAGAGGTGTGAGGGATAGTGGTCTGATGGAGAATGCCTTGGCTTGAGAAGAACGTGGTGGCTTCAGAACTACCACCAAGTTCAAAGGCATTGTCAGACCTAAAAGTTTGGTCAAATGATTTAAGATGAACTTTAACCATGACAGTAAAAGCTTTAAGAACAGAAAGAGCATTGCTCTTGCAAGAAAGAAGGTGAGTCCATGTGGCTTTAGAATAATCATCAACCAAAGTTAGAAAATATCTGAATCCACTATAAGTTCTAGTGTTATATGGACCCCAAATGTCAATATGTACTAATTGAAAAGGAGCAGAAGAGTGTATAACACTCTCAGGAAAAGGTAATCTATGTTGTCTTGGTAGAGGACAAATAGGACACAGGAAACTTTGCTTGGAAGATACTTTATCATATAAGAAAGGAATAGTTTTCATTCTATGATAAGGCATATGCCCTAATCTTTGATGCCAAAACAAGTCCAATTTATTAAGGCAATGGAATTGATTACAATTAGGAGTACCATTAACATGTGTAACAACATGACTGGATTTATCAAATACAATTGAAACAGAAGAAGGTAAACCACTAGAAGTAGAAACAGAATTAGGTAAACTACTAGAAGAAGAAACATTCAAAGAACTAGATAAAACAGGAAAGAGATCAACATCTGGATGGAGATAGTACAGCCTGTCTGCAGCTTTACCTATTTACAGTGGCCTCTTCAGAGAAGGGCCCTGTAAAGAAAAAATTGTTTTGGTAAAAAGTGCTGAAAAATCTAGCTGACATATAAGCCGATGAACTGATATCAAATTGAAGTGAAAAGATGGGACAAGAAGAACATGAAGTAAAATTATATCATGTCTAAGATACAGAGATCCAGTTGATACAACTTTAGCTTTATATCCATTAGGTAGGGTGACAAGAAAAGGCTTGATTAATGGTTGAATATTAAAAAGAAGATGTTTATGTGGAGTCATGTTATTTGTAGCCCCTGTATCTAAGATCCAAGGATTGACACCTAATTGAGAGGGTGCACACACATGAGGAACCTCAGAATCTACAGCATACTTGCTAAACAAACCTGCGAAGTATGCAAAAGCAGATAGATCCACAGTGGAGGCATCAGGGGTGGAAGTGTTAGACATCTGAACTTGTTGAAACATGGTCAACAGGTGTTGATACTGCTCCTTGGTAAACCCATGGGCTGAAGAATCGGCATGCTGAGAAGTGGAAGTGACAGCAGTGGTGGATGGACTTTCAGTCTGGACACAAGAAGCATATTTCTTACTCTTGGTGAATTTGAAATCAGTAGGAAACCCATGAAGTCTGTAGCACTTGTCTACAATGTGGCTAGGCTTCTTGCAGTACTTGCAAGAGACATTTGGAGCAGCTTTCTTGGCCTCAAAATTCACCTTTTGACTGAAAGTCCTATTTGTGGTAGAAGTACCAGGAGACACCAAGAAAGAGGTGGCATCACCAGAGAAGTTAGGAGTAGCAGAGTGAGCTTCTCTTTGACTCTCATCTTGTTGTAGAAGACTATAGGCTTTGCTGATTGATGAAAGAGGATTCATTAGCATAATGGCACTTTTAACAGTTGTGTAGGACTCATTTAGACCATTGAGAAATTGAAACAACTGTTGATCCTCTATGAATTTAGGCAATGCACCACATGAACAGGTAAGACCTACATATGAAGAGTTCAGCTTATCCCACAAACTCCTCATTTTGGTGAAGTAAGAAGCTATATCGCAGGAGCCTTGAGTAGTAGAGTTGATTTCCCTTTGTATTTGGATGTATTTAGACCTGTTTGACTGGCCAAACCTTTCATTCTTTCAGACTTCCTTAGCAGTTTTATAACAGCTATTTCTCTAGATACTGAGTTAGTTATCCAGGCTTTGACCATACCATTGCACCTTTCCCAATATGGGCAATAAGGAGATTCAGGAGTGGGTTGATTGACTCTACCATCTAATAGGCTGAGTTTGTTCTTTGCAAAAAGCGAAGTGAGCATACTGTTACACCACAACACAAACCCACAACCACTGAATGGTACGGATACCAGTTGACTTCCATGATTATCTGAGGGATGAATATAGAAGGGATGTGAGGGATCCAAGGAAAACGAAGCAAAACCGTTGGAAGGTGAAGGAGAGTTACTATCATCTATTACAGTACCCATTTTCAGGAGTAACTAAATCTAACACTAAGAAACTACAGTAGTATGTTGAAGTAATCAGAGATAAACTCAAATCAAGTACATGCAATGAACATTAACAGCAAAATTAACAAAACTTGTGATTAGGAGTGACAATGATACCGTCCTTCTTCTGAAAACCCGAAGAAGTGAGGTCTTGTTCAGCCATGAACCCTAGGTAGAGAAATCCAGCAGAAACTACCAAGTAACATGAAAATTATCAGCGATTCTCACGATAAAAGTTGAAAATATGCGAAGATTGAAAGAAACCCCAAATTTCACGAACGTATTATGAAGATCGACGATCTGATTCAATCCTTAACGATTTCAAACAAGGCTACCATCGGAAGAAAGCTTGCGATGAGAGGAATCTATATTCCTGCTCTGATACCATGTTAGGTTTGAAGCTCGATGGCTAGAGCGGAAAACAACAGAAGAAAACCCTAAAGGGTTGAGAGAAGAAGATGAACAAATGAGTCGATCAAAGTTTAATTGACCAGAACTGATTTTACTATTCAGAGGTGTCTATTTATATTTATAAGTGTAAGAGACAAAAACACTTACATGACTGAAACTATAAGAAAATGTAAACTAAAAAGGGCATTCTTCTTTCCCTTATCTAATTGGGCCTGTGACAATCGGGCCTGAGCTGTATCTGGGCTAACAATATGTTAATTAATATTGTGGCACCCGTAATCTATAAATCCTGGATCTTCCTCTGGATAGAAGTAATTTTTTTAATAAAGAACAGAATATGTCTATAGTAATTTGGTCCAAGACGAACTGCTTTTTCATTGCTAACAATTTCTTTGATTAATCAATGTGTGGTATTTCAAATCTAATTATACTTCTACTATGGCTATTTCACAATGAACTCCATTCTTCTCGTTCAGCTTAAGAACTTTAGCCTCTACCCATCTTGAATCACTTTTACTATTAAACTTCATAAAGAATCCTGCAATTCTAATCCAGTCAACTGGATAAAAATCCCTTGATGGCAAGTTGTAATCTTTTATCTTCATTGAAGTCATCTTCTCTACAACCCTTGAAACCAAGTACGATCCATTTTGTCCTCACCTATTTCCATCAAAATATAAAGCAAATTCCTCCATGAATTTGTAAATAAGTGGACGATTTTTATATTTAAAAAAAAATCAATAATGCATTATTCAGTCTTGTCACATTCCCATTTGCATCCATGCATTGTGCACCAATCGAATTCCTCAATCTTTCCTTCAAGATTATGAAATCCGTGTCCAAATAAATACCACCATAAAGTACTAGTCTAGTCAAATTAGAAAAATTATATGCCAAAGAAACTTTACCAGGGTCCTTTTTCCCATTCTTGAGGTCTATGAACCAATTAGGGGTGGGGGGCAAACTCGAAATCCAAACCGAAATCCGAATTTCTTAGATTTTTTGTTTGGATTTTCGGATTACGGAATGGATTTTGGATTTAATTTTTAAAATTTTTGGATTTCGGATTGGATATTGGATTTGGTACTTCGAATTTTTGGATATCCGAAAATCTGAAATTCTTATACTTTATATTTAGTCCATTATCCATATGTTAATAGAAGTTCAATACCCTACCCATTAGATATCATCATATATATTCAATATTAATTACTAAGTTATTATGAGAATACTTTCTATTTGGACATGGTTTTACTAGTTCTACTTCTTAACTGTCGTATTAACATCTCTATTGTATTTTTTTATTTTTTATATAATAATTTCATTACGTTAATATTTCATTTGGATGATTGCGGTGAGAATGAAGAACTTTTCAAGCAATTTAACATGAGTACTTCATTTGGATATTTATTTTTGTAAAAAGAAGAAACATCTCAACTTATAAGCTCAAAACCGAAAATTCAAAATATCCAAACCGATTAATCCGAAACCGAACTTAAAAAATCCGATCCAATCCAAACTTATTTGGATTTGGATTGTCATTTCGTCAATCCGAAAACTGAAAATCCAAACCGGGGTTTCATATGCAATCCGAACGCCCACCCTTAGAACCAATATTCAGCTGAAGTATTTTACAACAGAAAAGATATAGGAAAAATGACACTGTATAGCGGCTGTAAAAATAATAGTCGAAAATATATATAAAAATTGTGTAATATATATATATATATATATATATATATATATATATATATATATATATATATATATACACACACACACTTTTGTATGTTATATACAAAAACTATACAAGTTTTATACACTTTTTCGACTACCAGATGTAAATACTTTCTGGCGCGTGCTAAAAGGGGTGATTTTTAAAAATAGCCAGATTTACAACTGGTCGTTCAAAAATAGCCCAATTTCAAAAGTAATCGAAATTTAGCCACTTTTTATGTAAAGATAAATCTGAGCGAAAACACTGTTCAAAACCTGGAAAATACTCCAGTATATTATGCTGGATTTCCAGCATAAGTATACTTGAACTCCAGCATATTATACTGGAGTTCTAGCAAGTATAATGGTCCAGTATAATATACTGGAGTTTGGAGGACCAGTGCTCCAGTCTCCAGTATATTATACTGGAGCCAGCAAAGTATACCGGTCCAGCATAATATGCTGGAGTTCATACACAAAGTGCACCGAACTCCAGTATATTATGCTGGACCGGTCTCTATTGCAGCAAAACAGTGGCTATTTTTCATTGACTTGGTAAACGCCGGCTATTTTTGATCGACCAGTCCGAAAACTGACTATACCGTGAAATTTTGTGATAATTGCCCAAAGATATATAATAGTGACAGTAGGAATTTTATAGCCCAACTCAACTAAAGCGCTAAAAATCATACTTCCACTAGGTGAGTCCAAAGTCGTTGACAAAATTATCGAACACCCTTTAGGATGTGGTTTGAATAGACTCTCTAAGGTGAAAAGTTTTCTTTTACCAAAATATTTTGCAGGCTGTCTACTGGCCAATATCTGAATGGTATAGGCATGGATATATCTCTTTCTTACTCTCTTTATCACACTGCATCTGAATTCATTGCTCATATCTCTTTTAAATGTTCCACTGCAAGAAGCTTCTGGCATCAGATGAACCAGCAATACATGAATACTGGGTATCAATTGACACCCTATCGTTGGGAAATAACATTGTGTAGTTAGGTAACAATTATTATTTTTATATACATATATTATATATTGATTTCCATTAGTTTCTTTGTGTGATAAATATTTTTATATCTTGACACCCCTCGGTAAAAATTCTGGCTCCGACACTGGGAGACAACACCGGATCATTTCACCCGAGGCTTGGGAATACACTTGGAACAGAATAAAGGCTAAGCCCTTCAATGTATTAATTGCCAGAAACCATAACTTAATAATAAGCATGATAGCACCTCTGTCAAGAATACAATTGCAAAAGCAATGGAATACCATCATATTGTTAATAATAATTGTGATCAACAGAGCACCGTCCATATTTCTGCCAAATGGAATCCTCCTAATAGGGATCCTTCAAACTAAATACTGATGGTTCTTCCCTGCCCTGGCCAACCAAAGGCAAGTTTTGCGCATAAATTTGATACCTACGTGCATGATGTTATCCGTGAAACTATTCTTGCAACACTTTTCTTAACGAGATCAAAATTTAAATGGTGACACTGAAAGATTCTATTTGTGCAAACTTCCCCTTCTTTTTGTGTGTACTATCTCTTTGGTGTTGTCTTAAATTGGCGGTAGTCACGGTGCCATCTTTATATTGTAACATCTATCTTATTTATAGCTTCAAACGGAAAACAAAACAATGCCAATGGCGCTGATTCTTAGTATAAATGCCTCTTCTGGAGATGGGGACTTATTGCCTCAGCACTTGATTATCTCCACCAAATGTACACCCCTAGATCATATTGACCTAAGTAAAATCAAGGCAACATGGCGGATTTACATGGACCAAGCGGTGTCACGGGACACCGCTTCGTTGAAATTTTTTACTATTTATATATATAAAAATAATAAGTAAAACAAAAATACAAGATAAAATCATTAAAAGTGACACCACTTGCAACAAAACAGCTTAGTAGTCTAGTGGTTGACAGCTTCATGTTTGTCGTGAGAGGTCTTGGATTCGAACTCCCTTGGCTCCACAAAATATTTTTTTGACTGTTATGCGCCTCTTACTAGAAATAGTGACAATAGTGACACCGCTTATGAAAAATCATGCGTACGCCACTGGGCCAACATATATTCCTGCTTTTATTCATAAGTGAAGGGAGTTACAACCTACTAATCGACCTATGATTGAAACATTCACCAAAGCTTAGCCCTAGTGACTCACGGCCTCCTCCTCGCCTTAATAAATGAAATGGAAGAAGCAAATCAACAAACTTTTTGATTGATTTATGGAGAGCAAAGCCAAATTCAATCAAAGCAAGGCGCTAACTTATCCTAAGACTGATTTATCATGTTCAAATGTAGTTGCGCTAATGGAAGAAAAGTTATCAGATTTCATGAAGACATGGCTAACTGCCCATGTTTGTGACTTTGAATTGGCGGCACTAATAAATAGTTCTATAAGTTCTCTCATCACCATCTGATTTTTGCTGATAAGCGTATACATAAAAGAATGTCTAGCCTCAATAACATAAAGAATAATTAACAGGTGTCTAGCCTCAATAACATAAAGAATAATTAACAGGTGTTGGAAATGTTTGCAGCTGTGGAATAATGTTACTAGAGTTGTTAGTACATATAAGACCTAATAATGCTTTATTTAACAAAGAGTCTAAATATTCACAATGTAATGACCCGGCCGGTCATTTTGTATATTGTAGCCTTGTTCCCCTATTTATTTTCTCTTCAATATTCATTTGTGGTTATGTAACTAGCTGGGGTGGTTGGATTGGTTTCAAGGAAGTTACAAAATGAATTGGACACTTAGTCCCAAAGTTGAAAGAGTTGACCGGAGTTTGACTTTTGTGTAGACGACTCCAGAATGGTATTTTAAT